GAGAGAGAGAGAGAGAGAGAGAGAGAGAGAGAGAGAGAGAGAAGAAACAGAAAGGAGAACATACAAAACAGGGGGAAGTGGAATGATTGTCCGTGTGATCATTCCAGAATGATGACCGTGTCTCAAGCATAGCAAACAACAGTGGTCCAGTCTGGATCTTTGTGACTCAAGAAATTGATGTTGTACAGAATATTCCTTGGTGAGTCCCTTGACATCCTATCTTCTCAGTCACAGGAACCTATTAAAATGCGATTTCTTAAATCCCATGAGTAAATGGGAGAACAGAAAGATACAAAAAATATCATAACTTGGAAACTTAACTAGAATAAAAGACAGAATCCCATGGATGACAACAAGGAGAAGTTCCAAGCTGTGTAAAAGAGGGAGAAAGCAACCGCCTGATTTAAAAGGGAGCTGGTATCTTGGAAGACACGGGAATCACCACGTGTGGAATTGCACTGGGAGGCAATCGGAATCATGGGAAGACAGGGATAAGTGCTATTGGTAAAGAAAGTTAAAAGCCAAAGCAGTTATTAATGTCAAGAAAATAAGAATGGAAAGCATAATTATTATACAGCAAAGTCCCTAACACATAGTGAAAAGAGGCATGAAAGAGCTCAAATTTAATCCAGTCTACCAAGGACTCAGTTGATAATGCATGAGACTAAGATATATTTTTAAAATCAGTGGCAGCAGAGGTGACTGAAATGCCTAAAAATGACTGTATCTTGGGAGAGAAACAGAGATGGCAACAATCATTGCATATTAGGTCTTTCAGTGTTTGGTTTTTAAAAATAAAGGCTGCATTTTATTCTGGAATAACATGAATTTTTAAAGGCCAGAAAGCTGCAGTTCTTACAAGTCTCACCACCACTGAAAAATAAGTTCTGAGACATTGCTGATAATAATAGGAAAAGCTAAATATGCTGACTGATGTGAAAACTAGAAAAATGACTTTTAAGAAAAGGTACTTAACGAATTGTGAACAGGCATAACCCGATACAGAATGGAGAAGATAAAGATCCAATGAGAGCGCTGAACTCGGGCAGTTTAAGAGGCAAATTGAAGCTAAGCATGTAGAAGGAAACAATTCACCTATGCTTGTTCTGGTCTGAGAAAGCAGATGGAGAAGCTTCCTCCCTCTTCTGTGAGGCCAGGATGATAATCTACTGCCCAACCCACATGAAAATTGTGTTGGAAAACCCTAAAGGTATGTTGACATATATACCTGTGCATCAAACTAATCATGGTAAAGATTAGTTTATCTTGAAGACACAAAAATTTAAAAGCTAAGTAACACATGGGCAATTTAAACAAATATTTTTAAAAATTTGTGAAAGAAATAGAAAACAACCTTGATGTCAAAATCTCAGTTGGGTGGTGGTGGCACACACCTTTAATCCCAGCACTTGGGAAGCAGAAGCAGGAGAATTTCTGTGAGTTCAAGGCCAGCCTGGTCTACAAAACAAGTTCCAGGACTGCCAGAGCTGTTACTCAGAGAAACCCTGCACTGGAAAAAAAAATGGACAAACAAAAATCTCATTTTTTTTTCTCTGAGAGCAGTCATCATAAAGATGAAATATCGAAGCAATTCCACAAATGCAAAGCTGACCTACTTGCTACAGCCAATACTGGAGCATTTGCAGGTTATTGGAGATTTTCACAACTAATACCAATGTATAGTACTTAGGGAAGAAGGAGTGTGAACATCGCGGAGCAGAGAGTATTATAAAAAGTATAGAAGAGTGAAGACCTTGAAAGTGGAAGAATTTTACGGTTCACAAAAAACTGGAGAAAAACTTTAGTTGTTCTGTGCTATGAACAGTTTTACTAAGTGGTTTATGAATAGCACAGTATTTGTTGACTTCTTGGTGGATGATTGATTCTGTTTTATAAACATCACCATTTGAAACAGGAGGTTTTTTAGATTTTCTTAAATTTTCGTGGGGAAACAGAATTTAATGTAAAATCCATGGGGCAGAATGCCTTTAATCTACCTACCATCTTGTCGCTGTAGCCTTGAAAAAGAGAATAGCACTCGTACAACGCAAGGTGGCGCTGCAGGCTAAAAAGAGAAAAGGGAAAGGGAAGGGGCGAAAATGCACAAAGGATAGTCTAGATTTCCGACAAAGCCTTAGGAAATGACATAGCAGTAGCAAGCGCTGGGAGAAGGTGCCTCTCCCTTTTCATAGCAAATCTTAGTGTCCTGATCACTCCTAAGGATTCTGCTGCTGGCATTCCAGAGAGCTGCTTGAGACAAAGTGGAAGGATTTTGGGTTTTATTTTGAAAGTCTTAGAAAGAATGGAGTTCAGATTGGAGCGACCTGTGCAGAAAAGGCAAGTACTGTTTCTCTGTGTGTTCCTGGGAGCTGCTTGGGTTGGCGCCGAACAGCTTCAGTATTCTGTGGCGGAGGAAACTGAGAGGGGCACTTTCCTGGCCAATCTAGCTAAGGATTTGGGGTTGGGGCTGGAGGAACTGTCAGCTCGGGGGGCTAGAATTGTTTCAGACCAGAACACGGGCTTTTTACTGCTCAGTACGCTTACTGGAGATTTAATTCTGAACGCAAAGCTGGACCGGGAGGAGCTGTGCGGCCCCACGGAGCCCTGTGTGCTGATGTTCCAGGTGCTGTTGGAAAACCCATTTCAGATTCACCGCGCTGCACTGCATGTCAGAGATATAAATGATAATTCCCCAGTATTTCTAGACAAAGAAATTCCCTTGAAAATATCAGAGAGTACAACTCCTGGGGCAAAATTTCTACTGGAGAGGGCGCTGGATTACGACGTGGGGATGAACAGCCTGAGGAACTACACCATCAGCGCCAATGCCTATTTCCACATTCACGTGCACGACGGAGGGGAGGGCACTATCTTCCCTGAACTGGTACTGGATCAAATGCTGGACCGAGAAGAAATAGCAGAGTTCACCTTAACTCTCACAGCCTTAGATGGTGGATCTCCACCCAGGTCTGGGACAGCCCTGGTGCGCGTCCTGGTGTTGGACGTAAATGACAACTCCCCTGAATTCGCGCAGCCCCTCTACAAAGTACAGTCACTTGAAAACACTCCTGTTGGCTCCTTGGTTGTGGCCGTGTCTGCTAGGGATTTAGACACGGGAAGTTACGGACAGATAGCATACGCATTTTTTTATGCCACCGAAAGAATTCTCCAAACGTTTCAAATCAACTCTACGACTGGGGATCTTTATCTTAAAGGTGAACTCGACTACGAAGCAATTCAAGCTTACTCAATAACGATACAGGCCAAAGACGGCGGGGGACTTTCTGGAAAATGTACTGTGGTTGTAGAGGTAGTGGATGTAAACGATAACTCACCTGAACTTCTCATGTCATCGCTTACTAGCCCAATTGCGGAGAACTCACCAGAGACAGTCGTTGCTGTTTTCAGAATTAGAGACAAAGATTCGGGGAACAATGGGAAAACTACATGCTCCATTCCGCATGATCTCCCCTTCGTCCTGAAGCCATCTGTGGAAAATTTCTATACTCTAGTAACAGAGACGCCTTTAGATAGAGAATCGCAAGCCGAGTACAACATCACCATCACAGTCACCGACATGGGCACACCCAAGCTCACAACCCAGCACACCATAACAGTGGAGGTCTCTGACGTCAACGACAACGCCCCAGCCTTCACACAAAGCTCCTACACCCTGTTTGTCCAAGAGAACAACAGTCCCGCCCTGCACATAGGCACCATCAGTGCCACAGACTCAGACTCAGGCTCCAATGCCCACATCACCTACTCGCTGCTGCCAACCCACGACCCACAGCTGCCCCTCTCCTCGCTCATCTCCATCAATGCAGACAATGGGCAGCTGTTCGCGCTCAGGTCGCTGGACTATGAGACCCTGCAGACCTTCGAGTTCCACGTGGGCGCCACAGACCAAGGCTCGCCCGCGCTCAGTAGCCAGTCGGTGGTGCACGTGCAGGTGTTGGACGCCAACGACAATGCGCCCTTCGTGCTCTACCCGCTGCAAAACGCCTCTGCGCCCTTCACAGAACTGCTGCCCAGGGCGGCTGAACCTGGCTACCTGGTCACCAAGGTGGTGGCTGTGGACCGCGACTCGGGACAGAATGCCTGGCTGTCATTCCAGCTGCTCAAGGCCACAGAACCAGGGCTGTTCAGCGTGTGGGCTCACAATGGCGAGGTGCGCACCTCCAGGCTGCTGAGTGAGCGCGATGCGCCCAAGCACAGGCTGCTGCTGCTGGTCAAGGACAATGGCGATCCTCCAAGGTCTGCCAGTGTCACTCTGCATGTGCTGGTGGTTGATGGCTTTTCTCAGCCCTACCTGCCTCTACCAGAGGTGGCGCGAGACCCCGCCCAAGATGAGGATGAGCTCACGCTGTACCTGGTCATTGCCTTGGCTTCTGTGTCTTCGCTCTTCCTCTTGTCTGTGCTGCTGTTCGTGGGAGTGAGGCTGTGCAGGAGGGCCAGGGCATCTTCTATGGGTGGCTTTTCTGCGCCTGAGGGACACTTTCCTGGTCATCTGGTGGATGTCAGCGGGACAGGGACTCTGTCTCAGAACTACCAGTATGAGGTGTGTATGACTGGAGGGTCAGGGATAACCAGCGAATTTAATTTCCTAAAGCCAATTGCCCCCAACTTCTTAACCGAAAGCACAGGGAGAGGAGCAGACTAAGAGCCAAGCCCTACGACCTGGGGATACAGCCCTAGTTGAAAGCATGCCCTTGCTGCCTGTAGGGGAATGATTTTATGCTAACATCGTGAGGTTAGTTAATCTAGTTCAGAAAAGAACTCCTTTGCTTATTCCCAAGAACTTTCTCTCACGAATGAAATTCATGTGTTGTGAGCTATCTAAAATTTAATTTGATTCCTCTTTGTGTCTAAGCATTTGTTGAACTGTGACCTATTCAATGACAAATCTTGCTAGGGGTGGTTTAAACAGTTTTTCAGTCATCTAATTTCTTCCTTGATATTTATGTTCTGAGTCGTCTGAAGTCACATATAAAAATCCTTGCCTTACATTTAGGGAGGTTATACTCCACAGAATTTCCTTAAGTTTCTTTAGTAATTACTGAGCATCTTACATAACTCCATCACTGTTTGGAGACACAGTCCCTCTGTGTCCAGGATGGCTGTGAACAGGATGGCTGTGATCCTCCTGCCTCAGATTCCCAAAGTGCTAGCATTTTAGGCATCAGTCTATGTTATTACTTTATTTCAGAAGAAACCAATGAGTAGAGGTTTTTTGATAATGAGCAAGTAGACATTCATAGAGGCTTGGTAAGTTCCACGATTACTAACCGGCAAAGCAGAACACTTCCTAATTCTTTTTGTTTTAGTTTTCTTGTTTGAAGTGCTAGAGAGTCCTCATTCTGTCCATCTCCAGGCAGGTGACTCTGCAACAATGGTATGCTATTCTCTGTCACTAGGTATCATCTGTGGCACTCACCCTGCTCACCAAGTCTCTGCTGTGTTCAGACAGCAATGCTCCTCTTGGCCTGTAGTCTTAGTTCCTTATAAACACACAATCCCTCTTTGGGGGTTCACTACCCAGCTACTACTAAAGTTCTGACTTAACTAAATCTCAAGTTCTAAAAAAGTTGGGTTCTGGGCATGGCACAACATGCCTTTAATCCCAGCACTTTGGAGGCAGATACAGGAGGATCACTATGAGTCTGAGACCAGCCTAGTGCACAGTAAAGTGTCCGTGATAGCCAAGGCTGCACAGAGAGACCCTGCAGAGAGGAGGGGGGAGGAGGAGGAAGAGTTTTTCTACATTAGATTTCCATATATTTTTGGTTACTCTCCCTCCACATCTGTTTCTCATTTGTAAGATGGGGAGTTCACAAAGATTCTAGAACCTAGATGCTGATATCTCATCTGTAGATGAGGAAACTAAGGCAGAGAAGTTAAAGAATTTGTCCAAGAATCGCAACTGTTTCTGTGGTTCTTCACACGAAAGGTATATAATTCCTCAAACTTTGTTTCTAGAAACATACATGCACACACTTAAGTATATATTTCTTGCATAGATTTTTCCTCCCAGGCTGTTATTTAAATGTGACCTTTGTTCAAATCTCAGTTAGCATTATTGAAAGGATCTCCACCCATGCCGTTTCTCTTATGTGGCTTTCGGGCATCTGTCTGCCCAAGAAGGCAATGTAATAGAAGAGGTAATGCAACCTTACCTTGCTTGCTGCCAGATACAGGCAATTTTAGGTTTTTTTTGCATCAATTTTCATGCCATGAAATGTTAAGATGCAATGAGAACGCTTGGTGGCGCTGCAGGATAAGAAAGTAAAAGTGGAAGGCAGCTGTGGAGGAAAAAAAGGAAAAGAAAAAAAAATTGCTGAAGCCTGGAAGCCCAGAGAAGCTCGGACACCTCAGAGAGGAGGTCTGCGCCCCCGGGAAAGGACTGGAGTAATTCTCGGGTATCTAACGAGATAACCACAGTACCAGATACCAGAGGAATTTACAGTTCTGTTGAAGCAGCCTCCAGGACGCTGCAGCAGCACAAGCAATGGAGGCCGGCAGGAAGCTCACTGGCAGACAAAGGCAAGTCCTTTTTTTCTTTTTCCTATTAGGATCATCTCTGGCGAGTGCAGGGGAGCTGAGGCGCTATTCTGTGGTGGAGGAAAGGGAGGGTAGGTCCTTTGTAACCAATTTAGTAAATGACCTAGGTCTTGGGCAGAAGGAGCTCTCCAGACGAGGGGCTAAGGTCATTTCTAAAGGGAACAAACTACATTTGCAGCTGGATCAGGAGACAGGAGATTTGCTCTTAATTGAGAAAGTGGACCGGGAGGAACTGTGTGGGCACACGGAGCCATGCCTGCTACGTTTCCAAGTGTTGCTAGACAATCCCTTAGAGATTTTTCAAGCTGAGCTAGAAGTAACAGACATAAATGACCACTCTCCAGCATTCATGGACAAAGAAATCTTGCTAAAGATATCAGAAAGCAGTCTTCCTGGGACTGTATTTCCTCTGAAGAACGCTCAAGACATGGATGTAGGCCAAAATGGTATTCGTAGCTATCATATCAGTTCCAATTCCTATTTTCATGTGCTCACTCGAAAACGCAGCGATGGCAAGAAATATCCTGAGCTGGTTCTAGACGGAGCTCTGGATAGAGAGGAGGAAGCTGAGCTCAGGTTAATCCTCACAGCTCAGGATGGCGGCTCGCCACCTAGGTCTGGCACCACTGAGGTCCACATTGAAGTCCTGGACATCAATGACAATGCTCCCCAGTTTGAACAGCTTTTTTACAGGGTACAGGTCCCAGAGGATAGTCCAATAGGCTTTCTGATCGTCACCGTTTCCGCTACGGATAAGGACATAGGCGTCAATGGGGAGATCTCCTATTCACTTTTTCAGGCGTCAGATGACGTCAGCAAAACCTTTTCGATCCACCCCTTGACGGGGGAAGTGCGACTGAGAGAACAACTTGATTTTGAAAAGACTCAGTCCTATGAAGTCAATGTTGAGGCCAGAGACGCTGGAACCTTTTCTGGAAAGTGCACGATTCTGACTCAAGTCATAGATGTGAATGACCATGCTCCAGAGATTATCCTGTCTGCTTTTACCAACCCCATCCCTGAGAATTTGCCAGAAATTATGGTGGCAGTGTTTAGCGTATCTGATCTAGATTCAGGAGAAAACGGCAAAACAAGTTGTTCCATTCAGGACGATCTACCTTTCTTCCTAAAGCCTTCTGGAGAAAACTTTTACACACTGTTAACACAGAAAGCACTTGACAGAGAGACTACGGCAGAATACAACATCACCATCAGTGTTGCAGACATGGGGAGTCCCATACTGAGAACACAAGTCAATATAACAGTGCAGGTCTCCGACATAAACGACAACGCCCCCGCCTTCACTCAAACCTCCTACACACTCTTTGTCCAAGAGAACAACAGCCCCGCCCTGCACATAGGCACCATCAGCGCCACAGACTCAGACTCAGGCTCCAATGCCCACATCACCTACTCACTGCTGCCCACCCACGACCCGCAGCTGGACCTCTCCTCGCTCATCTCCATCAATGCTGACAACGGGCAGCTGTTCGCGCTCAGGGCGCTGGATTATGAGACCCTGAAGACTTTTGAGTTCCAGGTGGGCGCCACAGACCAAGGCTCGCCCGCGCTCAGTAGCCAGGCGCTGGTGCGCGTGCTGGTGCTGGACGCCAACGACAATGCACCCTTCGTGCTCTACCCACTGCAGAACGCCTCTGCGCACTTCACAGAGCTGCTGCCCAGGGCGGCAGAGCCTGGCTACCTGGTCACCAAAGTGGTGGCTGTGGACCGCGACTCTGGCCAGAATGCCTGGCTGTCGTTCCAGCTGCTCAAAGCCACGGAGCCAGGGCTGTTTAGTGTATGGGCTCACAATGGCGAAGTGCGCACGTCCAGGCTGCTGAGTGAGCGCGATGCGCCCAAGCACAGGCTGCTGCTGCTGGTCAAGGACAATGGCGATCCTCCAAGGTCTGCCAGTGTCACTCTGCATGTGCTGCTGGTGGATGGCTTCTCTCAGCCCTACCTTCCCCTGCCTGAGGTGGCGCGAGACCCCGCTCAGGATGACGATGCACTCACGCTGTACCTGGTCATTGCCTTGGCATCTGTGTCTTCGCTCTTCCTCTTGTCTGTGCTGCTGTTCGTGGGGGTGAGGCTGTGCAGGAGAGCCAGGGCGGCCTCTCTGGGTGTTTGTTCTGTGCCTGAAGGACACTTTCCTGCCCACCTGGTGGATGTCAGTGGGGCAGGGACCCTGTCCCAGAGCTACCAGTATGAGGTGTGTCTGACAGGGGACTCTGGAACTGGTGAGTTCAAATTCCTGAAACCAATTTTACCTAATTTCCAAGACCATCCTCTTGGACCAGAAATGGGCGAAAATTCCAACTGTAGAAACGACTGGGGTTTCGGCATTCAGTTAAAATAGCTTTTTTTTTTTTTATCATGTGTAGTGTGTTGTTGTTGTTAGCTCAGGCTACTATTCTTGCTGCGCCCATTATGAACATTTGAAGCCTGCTGAAAGCTTGTTTGCATATTCTGGCCGCGGTGAGGCCATCTCATCTTTTCTCCAGATCGAAGATGAAATGTTCTAATCTTGTCTTTCTAACGTGCCTCTTTTCATACAAATCTTGCTGTGGGATAGCTTAGGAATGTACAAGAGACGAAGTGGAAAATCAGTTCAACCCAATCAGATGCAGTTCAGTGTGTGTCCTGTTCCCAGTGGTTAGCCATTGAGTACATAATACACAGCATGGCTCGGATGCGATGAAATCTAATCAGAAATGGGAAAGACGGGCCCACTGAGGGGCCTGGCTTTTGCTTTATTTGGCCTCCACTGGACTAACTTTGTCGTTGGTGTCATCATTAAAAAATGTTACCTAGCTGCCTAAAAAAGCCTGTTTTTGCCTTTAATATCACGATTTTAAACTGCTTTTTGTTGTGTTTTGTTGGTATGGAGAAGAATTCAGAAAGCCACCCCTGTTTGTCTGGTAAGCTGAAGTAGTGTGGCTGTAAAATTGACTTTTCTCCTCTGAGAAATATTTGCCAGTGAAAGAAACTGCAAATACGAATATGCATTCTTTTCCCCCTTCTTTTGTGCATTTTTGTTTTTGTTGTTTGTTTGTTTGAGACAGGGTTTCTCTGTGTAACAGTCCTGGCTGTCCTGGAACTCAATTTGTAGACCAGGTTGGCTCCGAACTCACTGAGATCAACCTGCCTTGCTTCCCAAGCGCTGGAATTAAAGGTGTACCCACCACCACCTGACCTTTTACCCCCTTCTTTACTGTCATATTCCAAACTCCATTCAGGCTGCTAGTATGCTCAGTCAAAAGAATACATCTTCACAATCCTCTTTGGCAAATAGAGCTGGGCATATGGCTAGGTTATAGTGAAATGTGAAGAGAAGCAGCTTCCAAAGCCTTTCAGCTGAGGATAAACCCAGTGCCCTGCACATGCTGGGTAAAGAAAATATCACTGATACTTCAATCTCCAAGAACACTATTAAAGGGAGATGTCTCACGTGAAAGTTGATTTTCACCTTTTCGACCCGTAGTGTGGTTCTCAACCTGTGGGTCTCTATCCCTCTGGGGTCACATATCAGATATCCTGCTTATCAGATACTTACACTAATAGTCACAGCAGTAGCAAGATTACCGTTATGAAGTAGCAGCAAAATAATTTTATGGATGGGGGTCACCACAACATGAGGAACTAAAGGGTCGCAGCATCATTAGAAGGTTGAGAACCATTGCTTTACCACTGTGTCCTCCCTGGAATATGTACACAAATAGCCATGGAGGATCTGTGATGGGGATGGTGGGACAAAATAGTGGGGAATGAGTTTGAAAGAGACAGCATCCCTGGTGACTAAGGAGTTGTCATATCATTCCATGTGATGCTAATTTCTGATTATATGTAGATGTGTCTTCATGTGGGTGTGTACATATGAGTGCAGCTACCCTCAGAGGACAGAGGCATTGGATCCCTTTATATGGAGCACAGAAGGCTCTGACCTGCCTGTCCTGGATTTTGAAGACCAAACTCAGGTCCTCTGCAAAAGCAGCAAGTACTCTTAACCACAGAGAAGTCTCCCCAGACCTTACTTTCATTATGTTTTAAACCTTCCCCAAACCCTATGTGGGTTACAACTATTCCTCTCTCTCTCTCTCTCTCTCTCTCTCTCTCTCTCTCTCTCTCTCTCTCT